AAAACAATAAAATAAAAAGAGAACTGGGGCTGGAACAATAGTACAGGTAGGGCATCTGCATTGTATGTGGCTGACCCGGGTTCAATCCCCTGCATCCCATATGGTCCCCCCAGCACTGCCAGAAGTAATTTATGAGTGCAGAACCAGGAGCAACCCCTGAACATCGCTGGGTATAACCCAAAAAAATCAAAAAAATTTAAAAAAATAAAAGAGAACTACATCACAATCTTAGTAAGGGAAGGCATCACACAAGGCTATGTCTCAAAGGCTCCGTGGTAGGTATATTCTGTCAGGGCTATTACCGTATATTTTTGCTGTCTGATCTATTCTGGACATTCCTAAACAGGTGACTAGAATGGAGAAATTAGTCAAGATCATGGCACAGATCTCATACTGATTATGTATTTCAAATGGGCAAATTGAAGCTGACCCCTACAGACTACTCTATTATAAACTAGGAACTTGACATACCTCACACTCTAATATTCCAAGAGTAGCACACCACAATTGATGGGGTTTAAAGTAGAAGGCTACCAATCATAGAGGGAACAATATTTTTACAAATGTATACACACACACACACACGGAGGGGTGTTCTCATGTCTGATGAAAGCACAGGCAAGGACAAAAGGACGGGGAGTGAGAATGACCAGCAAGACGAGGAGTGAGAAGCCATTTCAGGGAGTCAGTCAGAGAAGGCTTAGAATTATCAAGTTAAAGGTTTGGAAAAAATATTCCTCATACATATATTCAGAGGCATGGGAAGGGATGGGGGGGTGTGCACGGGAAAACAGCGGAGCAGGGGACCCCCAGGTTCTACCCCCTTCCCTTCTACACAACACCCTGCTCCACCAAAACGGAACCAACCCTCAGAAAGATGGAAATGGGCCACACAAAAGAATGGGACTAAAATGAGGCCCGCCCAAGCAAGACGGAATTCAGGAGCTGGAGACCGTGGAGCCCAGGGTGCACGCAAAGGGAAGAAAGTTTTCAGTGGGAACTGGGAACTGAGGGTGGGCATCGGGAACGGTTGGTGGAAGACAGAACGATGGCGCTGGCCACGAGTCCCTCCAGCCAGCAGGACTGTCAAGCGCACACCTGGACCCCCTCAAAGCCCAGAGGTGGCTGGCCACTGGGCTCTGACCCTTCCAGCTAGTCTCTTACTGCAACCAGCCTCGGAGTTTCTGCAGAAGACAGCCTGGGGGGACCGGCTGTGTGCTGCCAGGATACTGGTGGGCGCTGCGAGGCAGCAGGATGCTGGTGGGTGGGGGTGGCTAGCTGCCAGTGTAAGGTGCTCCGGCCCAGCTCTGCTTCCCACGGGGCCGCGACCCCCGCCAAGCGCCGATCCAACTTCAGGGGAGAGGACTCAAAGAGCGGCTGCAGGTCGCAGGCCCGTTGGGCTGAGTGGGCGGCGCGCGCCGAATTGAAACGGTGACCACGGCGTAGAACCCCGGCGGGGCGGCCGCAGCGTTGGGGAAGACACGCACCTCGTAAAGAAGGCGAAGCGGGAGGAGGCTGAGGACAGAAAATGCTGCGGGACCGCCGCGGTCACCCACCGCACTGTCAGGCGGCCAAGACCCACCCTCCCCGCACACGCCCACCCCTGCGCGGGGGCCACATCCCCAGCACGCTGCGCTCTCCGAGCCCGGGCTGCAGCAGCGTCGTACGGCCACGGCCAAGGGGCTCGAGGGCCAGCACGAGAATCTGTCGCGGAGAGCTGACAGCCACGGTTGCCTTGGCACACGGCAGGGCGCGGGGTCGTGGCGGGAAGTCTGGCTCGCGGGGCGTCTTTCCCGGAACACCCCGCCCTGCCCTCCGGGCCTGGCTCACATGCAACGCTTCGGTCGTGGGCCCAGGGCTCAGATCCCAAACCAACAGGGTTCTGTCACTCTCGCCGGGAACCGCCTCCTTCATCCTCGACCTCACTGCGCCTGCGCGCGCCTGCTCACGCGGCACTGCGCCTGCGCCGGACTCGCCCGCGCTTTTCCATAGGGGGCGCGCGCGAGGGATGGGGCGTGTTGGGGGCGGGGCTTCTGTGGCCCGCTCAGCCCACAGTGGGCGGGGCTCGGAGCTAAGTTCCCACCTTCGAACTCCGCGGTGTCACATCAGCTCAAGACTTTCTTGAAGAGGCCAGAGGGCTAATTTTCTTTCTTTTTTTCAAAGAGTTGTTCACGGTAATTGGTTACATTCAATATTTCAACACCAATTCCACCATTACACCTTTCCACCACCTTTGAGTTTTCCCACCACTACCCAAGACTGCCTCAAAAGAGGATGTTAAATGACTTATTTTGTATGCTTGTTATAAATAATTGACTAAAAATGATCCAAAAAGGTTTCCATAGAGGAAAGTGTGTGAAAATTGTTGTATCTCATCTTGGAGTCACTAAACCCAGGGATTAGAGACCAGAGAGCTAATTGAAGGACGCTGGGGTAAGGACCTCTAGAACGCAGCGGATTCTTGTTCATCTGGATCCTTTGGGTAGCAGACAGTGAGCACCACCTAGTGAAACTGGAAAATGAGGAGTGCTGACTATGGGGAAAACTACCATGGAAGAGGCAGGTCATAAAAATCTTTGTCATTAGATTTTTAGTAAATAAAAATGTACTAAATCTACTAATTCAGGTGTAGTCCCGCCTGAATCCTTAAAAAACAATTTCCTTCCTCTCCGCGCAATCCCAACCCCACAGGATACTGGACCATTGTGAAGGTATGTTTGTGGGGCTGGGATGATGTGGGAGCTGAGAACAGGGCAGAAACTGGGGAATTGAGTTGATTCAAGTAGTGGCTCCAACATGGGAGCTCATGGAGCCCAAGAGACTATTCTTAGCTTCCCTGTAGCTATTTGGTGGAGCAACGACCTGAGAAGGCAAGCAGGTCCTACCCATCTGTAATTCTAAACTGTTAGTTCACTTGTTTGGGGGGCCACACCTGGTGATGCTCAAGGCTGACTCCTGGCTTTGTGCTCATGGAGCTGGGAATTGAACCCAGGTCAGCAGAGTCAGGACAACACCAAATCCCATTGTGACATTTTCCCTAGTCCTTGAAAAAAGGATAATATAATCACGGATCAGAGCGATAATACAGCAGGTAGAGTATTTGCCTTGCATGCAGCTGACCAAGTTCAATCCCTAGCATCCCATATGGTCCCCTGAGGACCCCCCAGGAGTAATTCCTGCGTGCAGAGCCTGAAGAAACCCCTGAGCATTGCCAGGCTTGGCCCCCCAAAAAAACAAGAGGGATAATATAACCAATGTTCTTCTTTTCTAATACAAAAATTGGTTCCATTAATCAAGCGTGACCTCTTTACAATGCTGATAATTGTTTTGTGAAGAGGAAGATATTTTTATTTATCCCCTTCAGTCTTAAAGTTGTTTTAAAAGTGAAAAATCTTTGATCATGGTCTTAATTGTATTATTGTTGTTTTTTCTGTTCTGTAAATCTAGAAGTCTGGAAACTACCATATCATCATTTCTCATTTTGTGGCTGTTGTGGTTAAAACTGGTTAAAACTCAGAAGTAGGAACATGAGTGATTCAAGGCACACCCCAGTTTTACCAGGACTGATGGCTGCTACGCTCAGGATATGCCTCCATCTGTCCCTTTTCTGAAAATTGCCCTGTATTGTCTTTAAACAGATTTTATTCCCTACTGGCACCTCCTAAGAAAATTAAATCAACAGGGGGAGGCTGGTCTTGCATGTGACTGACCTGGGTTTGATCCCCTGCATCCCATATGGTCTTCTGAACACTGCCAGGAGTGATTCCTGAGTGCACAGTCAGGAGTAACCCCTGAACGTCGCTGGGTGTGGTGCAAAAAGAAACAAAAAAATTAGATTCTGGGTAAGATAGATAGGACAGAGTGTAAGGTGCTTGCTTTGCATGTGGGCAACCCAACTTTTATTGTTGGAATAGCATGTAAAATATAAAGTAAAGTAAAGGCCCTCCCGTTGTTCATCGATTTGCTCGAGTGGGCCCAGTAACGTCTCCATTGGAGATTTTGTTGTTACTGTGTTTGGCATATCTAATACGTCACGGGGAGCTTGCCAGGCTCTGCCGTGTGAGCAAGAAACTCTCGGTAGCTTGCCGGGCTCTCCGAGAGGGGCGGAGGAATCGAACTCGGGTCGGCCATGTTGGCTGCATGCAAGGCAAACGCCCTACCGCTGTGCTAAATATAAAGAAACATATTGGCTGCCCTCCACCCCTGTCTTTTTAGAAAGGATCGTCCCTAATCATTAATATTCCTGCTTTTGTTTGATGACTGGGAGTGTATCCCCAGCACTCCAAGGGGTCACTCCTAAGCAAGACATTCAGGAATAGCCCCAGACACTTAGGTGTGGCCCCAAATACCCCTCCCCGGACAAAACAAATACATAGATTCTATCCAGGACTTTTCAAAGATGATCTGAATTCTAGTTTGTTCTTCCAGATCAGTCTGAAATCACTGGCATTCTGATACACTTCCTCCACCCACCACTGTCTTTTTCTGCCTCCATGCCAGATCATTAAGCTACTCTCGAGAATTCTCTCTCCACAAAAAAACAATTGGCTTTGGATAAGTTACCTGGAGCCTGGTTTGATATTGTTTCAAACCAGTAATTACAGCGTTCATTGCCTATCCCATTACTCTGTGAAACTGCTCACACAGGTCTCCACTTTACAATGAACATGTCGCAGACAATAGGTTTTAGTACTATGCTCCGATTGCAGTAGGCACTCAAATTCAATCAGGAAAATGTGAACTTTCTTCATACAAGGAATGCTTTAATAATTCTCAAAATATAGAAACTTCATCGGGGTCCCCTTGATTTTACAAATGACAGTCAGGAGCTAGGGGCCTGGAATTGCACGGGAACGAGGAGGCAGCCCTTGGAAATCCTTTAGTCCTGGGGCTCTGGTACCATTTGGCTTGTGAAGGAGAGGGAAGAAAGTGACACAGAATGAAAGCAAAGGACCGAAGAGATGAAGAATCCCCAAGTGAGGAGAGAGGGAAGTTCTGGAAAAACTCCACAGCAAGCCGGCTTTCCCCTCCTCATTCCAGGTGACAGCTGGTCAACCAGTAAGAGAGTGGTCGGCCCTCACAGTGCAGCTTCCACCTCACCCTGTGGAGACAAAACACTGGTTCTGGCTTCCATCCACCCTGACCCAGTGCTCTGTGAGCCCCCGCGGCCACTCCCTGGGTCTCCTTTGTGGATCTCTGCTCCGGCCTCCCATGGCCCTTCTGATGCTTCCTTTCAATTGTCCTCATCTGTGGCCTTTGCTCTTCCCCCATTCGGGTGCGTCTACATTTTCGAACAGTTTTCTCCTATGACAGGAATGGGCCCTGTTTGTCTTGGGCCAAGAGTTACTCAAGAAAAATGTTGCCCACCCCCTTGCCCCACAGACTCTCTCTCTGGAAAGAGTCAGTCTTAAGGTACCCCTGAGGTACCTGAGAGTTTGCCCAGCACCACACAGTCACCTGGAGAGGGCAGGCGCTTATATAATTAATTTATCTGTTCACTGTGAAATTCAGAGAAGTTCAGTAACCATTGGAACACCCACCATGGCTGAGTTGATTGTTTGAGGGTGTCTACCTCTCTGGGGAATAGGACATTTCTTTTTCCACTGAAAATGTTGCTGCTAGCTACACCTAGACACGATTGTTTCGTGCAAATGCTCCTATGGCTCCAATTATGGAACCAAGAGCTGATCTAGGGGACTTTGCATCCCAGGTACTTGGTCTGGACTGAAGCCATCCTCATGACTGCTTAGGACTTTAGTGGTGGAACTTGAGGGGCCCATCAGGAGTGGAGAAAGCTGGCATACAGGGGGTGCTGTGAGCCACATTCCCAGCAAAGCAGTAGCCAGTAGACTAGGGTTTTTGGGTCCCATCTAGCTGGCTCTGCACTCAGGAATTACTTCTGCCTGGCTCAGGGGATCATAAAGGATGCCAGTGAATCAAACCCGGGTCAGCTGCATGTAAACAAGCTCCTTACCCACTGTGGCTCTGGCCCCTCCTGCAAACACTTCGCAGTCTTATTTCCATTTTCTTCCCAAGGTTTCCCCAAGCCTCTTGGCTGGGCTCTGTAAGCCTCCTCATTTTGGGGGCTGGAGAAATAGTACAATGGGTAGGGCATTTGCCTTGCACGTGGCCAACCCAGGTTCGATCCTGGGCGTCCCATATAGTCCCCAGAGCACTGCCAAGAGTAATTCCTGAGTGCAGAACCACTCCTGAGTACTGCCGGTATGATGTAAAAAAAAAAATAAATGAATAAGTAAAATAAAAATTTTTAAAAAGACTCCTCTTCCTCTCTCTCCTTTAGCTTAAGTGGGTCTCTTACTGCAACCAACCCAGGGTTGCTCCACGCTGTATCCAAGAAAGAACCAGAAAATCCCAGGCCTTGTGAATCAAAGCCTGCTAGGCACTGCCAGTTCCTGCCCACTGCTCCTTCTTCTGTCACCACATCCTTCCAGTGATGCTGCCATCTACCCTAGTCCTAGTTCATCTTCCCTCCTCACCAGTTCCTCATCCCTCCTGCTCTGGACAGAATCTTTTTGGCACAGTTGACGGATGCGAGGAGATCAGGCACAAGCAGTTCTGAAAGGGAGAGAGAGAGACACTCACAGACAGCAGCTCTGTATGTGGGCACAGGAGAAGCCCCCCAGCACTGAGATAGACACTCCCTAGTTCCACTCCACCCCCCCGGATCTGAGTGACCCTGCAGGGCAGCCTCCCTCCCGCACACAGGCTATCCAATGTTTGGGAGCCATTGTTGGTAGCTGTGGGCGGATCAGGCAGGTGGAGTGACAGTGCATTGGACCTGTTGATTACCAACTTCCTGATCAGAGGAAATGGAAGTTCCCCTATTCCCCCAAATTTAGGGGCCATCTGTCGGAAAAGGAAAAAGCCAATGCAAGTAGCTGAGAGACCAAGGCAAAGACCCGCCTAAGAGGAAGGGTCTTGTGGGAAGGAGCCCAGGGACATCAGTCACCTCAGAGCAGGCGTGGGGGCCACCTTGCACCTAGGCTTGAAGTTTGCACTTGGCCTCTGGTCTGACCCTGAGCCCAAGAAAGAGCTGCCGAGTGGCTGGAGCTGAGCCTTGGGCATTGACACTTGTTCTCCAAGCCTCCGTTTGCGCTTCAGCCAAGTGGGGCTCATCCGAGCTTCCATTCACAGGAAGCAGGAGGACACAAGCTCTACAGGTATCATGCTTGGGTCTGATACATTCCAGGACCGTTGGTGGCTGCAGCTCCTGCCCTACAGCCCTGTCGGCTCCTTGGAAACTTTGGAGATGTTCAGGTCACGGCAGATGCTCTCAAGAGGATCTTGCTGCCCATCATCTCCTCTGCCCAGGCTCTCGGCAAGGCAGGGAGAGAAGTCCTGTGAGGAGATCCTGGCCCCCCTCACCGCTCCTCCCAGTCAGACCTTTGCATTCCACGTGGCAAATGTTTTCCGAGTGGCTGAGGTAATCGTTGCACCAGAGGTGGCTGTTGATCTGGAAGATGCCGTAGTCGTAGCTGCCATCTACGTTTTCATTTACCTTTGTTGTGTTGAAGTTGCTTTCCACAAAAGCCAGGCAGATCCCTGCAAATGGAGGGGAGAGGGGTGTGAGAGGGGCCTTGCTGACAGAAACAGAGATGAGGGAGATTGGGAGGTGAAGAATGGTCTCATCACCCCTTCCCTTTTCCTTTCACCCTCTGTTTCGTCTACCCACCCGTCAGCCGTGCACCCTCTGTCTATCTGTCCATTTATGCTTTCTTAATCCAGTGGTCCCCTATTAGCAACCTAAAAAAAAAACCCAATCACAAAGCAAGATAAAAGCAGTGCTGTGAGACACAGATCTGGAGTGAAAGAAAGAGATTCCCCCATCCTGACCCCACACCCCAACAGAGCAAGGCCAAGCCTTGGCACTGGCTGTTGCCTCTGCCTGGAATGCTCTTCCCTCCAGACAGCTGGGGGACCAAGTACTGTACTTCAGCACTGCCCCATGTCACCTCCTCAGACTCCTCAACTTCCCCCTTTCAGAGCAATGTCACCTATCATTCTCCAAGTTTCTTTTTCAGCAGAATACATATCACCATTGATCAGGAAGGGCTCATACATTTATGAGTTTATAACTTTTCTCTTTCCCCCTAGAAAGCAAGCACAGTGCAGGGAGGAGCTCTGTTTTTCTATCTATCCCCAACACCTACTAAGTGCTTGATGAATAAAGGAGTGAACATTTAGAAAGTCTTTTGGGAGAGGTTGCTATTTGATTGCTTTTGTTTTGGGGCCACACCCAGAGATACTCAGGGGTTACTCGTGGCTCTGCACTCTGAGGTTATTTCTGGCAGTGCTCAGGGGACCACATGGGATGCCAGGGATTGAACCCGGGTCAGCTACGTGCAAGGCAAACGCCCTGCCCGCTATGATATCAATCCGGCTCCAAGATTGCTAATGGAACCTGGCTTCAAATGAGATCTGAGGGAGAAAGAACGAGGGCTCCAGAGGCTGTAGCCGGGAGAGGAGGCATGGGCACTCACAGTCACTCAGGGAGTAGCCCTCAAACCCATCCAAGTCCTCCTCCTTCAGCAACTTGGCCAGTTCACAGCGGCTGATCATGTGGGCATGATGGGTGGCCTCAAGGCAGCTGACCGTGCAGATGAGGAGCATCCTCACCATTGTCATCGAGGGAAGGAGCAGCCATGGACAGCTTGTGCTTAAGAGTGCCATTGGCTTCCTGCTGGTCTGAGAACCTGTGGGATCTGGAGAGAGCAGCCAGCACACACCCAGTTAATTCATTCATTCAGTATTTACTGACACCTACTTAACAGGGCTGTCCTGATGAGTAAAGGAAAAAGTAAGTGGTGGTCGCAGCCAGAGCGATGGTACTGTGGGGAGGGCATTTGCCTTGCATTGGCCAACCTGGGACCATCCCCGGCATCCTGAAGGTCCCCAGGGCCCACCAGAAGTGACTCCTGAGTGTAAGACACCTGAATAGCACCAGGTGTGGTCCCAAAACAAAAAACTAAAGAATAAGCGGGCAATTCTTGGTTTCACAACACTTACAAGCAAGAACCAGGACTTCCCAGAGGGTAGAAAAGGGTACAAGTCTGGGTTACCTAATACCAAAAAGTGAGGAAGGGCTTTACCTATGAGCTGTGGAGTGGAGGCTCAAAAGGAAGTAGGCATGTTTTGCATGTGGGAGGCCCAGTTTCAACACCTGCCTTCACATGGTCCGAAGCACTGATTTGGGAGCAGTTCCTTAGTACCATCAGGTGTGGCCCCAAAAGCAAAACAAACAAATAAAAAGAATCGAAGCGTGTCAGATGGGCACTCAGAGGCAGCATTTGTGTCTAGCTTCTTTACTTCACTGTATTTTCAAGGTTTATTCATGCTATAATATCTATATCGAGATTTTATTTCTTTTTATAGCCAAATAGTATTCCATCCTGTGGGTAGATTTTAATTATGAATGAAACTGCTATGAACATTCATGTACTTTTTTATGTGGACAAATAGTATCATTTGAGTACATATATCAAGAGGTAGAATTACTGGGTCATATGGTTACATAACATTTACTGGTGATATGGTTTAGAGGCAAAGTGTAAGCCTTACATGTGAGAGACCTGGGTTAAAGCCCCAGTATGGAAAAAAAATGTATAAAATCATCAGACTTCCAAAGTAGTGACATTGTTTACCTTCCCAACAGGAGTGTATAAAGGTTCAATTTTCTCTACCTCCTTTCCAACTGAATATTACTTGACTTTTTTTTAACTTTTTTTGTTTGAGGGCACTTTATGCTTGGGGATCACTCCTGGCTCTGCACTCAGAAAATTACTCCTGGTGGTGCTTGGAGGACCGTATGGGATGGTGGGAATTGAACTTGGGTCAGCCATGTGCAAGGCAAACGCTTGGCTGCTATCACTCTGGCTCCCTTACTTGACATTTTTGCTCGAAGCTAACCTAGTCGGTGTGAAGTGCTAGTGCTTTGTGGCTATTATTGACTGACTGCTAATGATTTCCATCATCTTTTTGTGTTTTCACTGGCCATTTGGATGGGGGAAATGACTACTCTAGTGTGTATGTGTGTCTGTGTGTGTCTGTGTGTGTCTGTGTTTCTGAGGATAAAAGCCTGGGTTCCTCTAGCCACCAGCTTTCAGGACTCCAGCACCTGGATGTCCTTCTTGTCTCATGCTATGCTGTTTTGTCTACTTGGGTTTCTTTGCAATGTGGGGAACCCAGGTTACTTGCAACGCTTGGCCTTCACCCCGAACCCCATCCCCGCCCCTGCTGTTGTGTCTTTAAGATTCACTTTATATTGTTTGAGCTTAGTTCTCTCATTTGTTTGCTTCCTTTTCCCTGCCAGCCTAGCGAGACATCCAGTTACATTCGAATTCCAGACAAACACTTTTTCATCCATGTCTGTTGCATACAACCCTGCCCGCCAGGCCCTAGTAGGCACCTTCAAAGACAGCTGTGGAAGTGGGGAGCTCCACTTCTGCCCATGCAGCTACCTCTGGAAGTTTCCCAAGGTGAGAGCACTTCCGACAGGGCACCCCGCCTCTCCCCCTGCCGCTTACCTTCCTCCTATCCCTCTCTCACTCTGGTCCCAGCTAGCCAGGTTCTCTCTGTGAGAATCTGCGTGACAAGGCTCTTTGGGGTCAGAGCCTCTACTTCCTCATAAACCACAAGCACTAGTCCAAACATGAGTCATGTTCTGAAGAAAGTGGGAGTGCTGGCGACCCCCACCTTCTGGAACCCCACTTCTGTGATGTCAACACTCTCTTGGAAATCCTCTTAACTGGGCAAATTAGCTCAGTCTCCTGTGTTTATAGAAGTAACTTTGCAAAACAATATTGAGCACCAGCAGGGGAATAGGTCACATTAAGCTCAACCCTGAAAATCCAATCCTATTCTTCATTCTATATTTGACCCCTATTTTGTTGCTTTTCTTTGGGGGGTCCCACCCAGCACTGCTCAGGGCTTACTCCTGGCTCTGTGCTTGGGAATCATGCCCGGCAGGGGACCTCGTGTGGTGTGTGTGGGGGTGGGGGTGTGGAACCTGGATCAACTGTGTGCAGGGCAGGATCCTTTGCCTCTGATCTATTTCTTTGCCCCTTAATTCACCACTATAAAATTTATTTTCTTGTTTTGTTTTATTAGCAGATTTGGATCTTATCCCACAGAATTTATACTGTCTCAAAAACTTCAGGACTGCTACACAAATGGATTACAAACTAGTCAAGAAATCATACCTTAAGTTCTCCCCAAAGGAGGGTTTAATAGGTTCCATATTCTAACTAAAATGAAAACTTCCCTACTTCTTCTTTCTGTGTGTGTGTGTGTGTGTGTGTGTGTGTGTGTGTTGTGTGTCTGTGTGTGTGTTGGGAGGGTGGGGGTGGGGTGCCACATCTGGGATTATGGCTTTGCTCAAGTCAGGGGATCATTCACTATGTAATGGATCTAGTAGCCACTAGAGGCCAGCAGTGATTCATGTTCAGGAAGTTGGATTTGTCAGTCACCCACCAGCATTCTCTCGGAGCTAAGAACCCTGGAAGGTGGGTACTGATGCCTTGGTTTTACACAGTATCAGAACTGGGGTTTGGGTATCTTTACCTCCCAATTCCACTTCGTTGATCCTTCAACACCAAGACGACCCCCTATTTTATCATAGCTTTAGTGGGGGATCAGGGGCACAACTGGCCATGCTGGGAACTTCTGGTTCTACATAAGGAAGTCACTCCTAGAGGTATGCAGAGATGACACAAAATCAGAAATCAAACTGGGGCCAGTCACATGCGAGACAAACCCCTGTGCGATCTCTCTGGCCCCAGCCATAGCCCCAGCCACAGCCCATCCATTTAAATGGATCCTGGGAGTCAGACAAATAGTTTAGGGGTTAACAGAGAGGCTTTGTGTACAGTTGACCCCAGTTTCACTCCAGCTCCACCTGGTTCCGCAAGCATCTCTGGGTGCAGCTCTGAAGGCTCCCAAACACTGCAGAGTGGCGTGGGGAGTCACAGACACTACAGACCCCAGACTGCGCAAATCCTCAAGTCCGTGCACTCAGCATGGGTCAGACTGGCCAAGAATTGCCATGAGGGACCCCAGGCCTGCTGAGTGCCACTTGGGAGACCCAGAAATCTAAAGTACCCTAGAAGTCTAAAAAGTAAATAAAACAATGCAAAACAGGGGCCGGAGAGACAGTATAGCAGGTAAAGTACTTACCTTGCATGTGGCTGGCCCAGGTTTGCTTCCCAGGATCTCATATGGTTCCTGAAACCTGTCAGGAGTGATTGCTGAGCACCATCAGATGTGGCCAAAAACAAAACAAAGCAAAACAAAAGGATACATTCCTGAAAAAAAAATGCTTTTAGAGCAAGGGCCCAACCATATTTTATTTTATTTTATTTTTTTGCTTTTGGGCTCAGGGGTTACTCTTGGCTCTGCACTCAGGAATAACCCCTGGCGGTGCTTGGGGGACCATATGGGGTGCTGGGAATCGAACCCAGGTCGGCCGCGTGCAAGGCAAACGCCCTACCCACTGTGCTATTGCTCCAGCCTCCAAACCATATTTTTAAAGTAAAATAGTTTTATTTAGAGAAATATTATATATGTGTATATATACATACATATATATACATACATATATATATATAGAGAGAGAGAGAGAGAGAGAGAGAGAGAGAGAGAGAGAGAGAGAGCTCTGTACCAAAAATAAAAACCACAGGTATCTCCAGAGGGGAGAGTACAGGGTGAAGTCTGCTATGAAGGGAAAGAAAAATGACATATCTCAGACTGAGATACAGGTGACCCCCAAGTATGATGGAAGGATCCTGGGCCCAAACCTGTGCAAAGCAGTTTACATGGGTCATAAACTTACCCTGAGAAAGGGAAAGAGGAAGGATACCAAGTGTGAAGGTGCCCACTGTCTGCCGGCCATGAAGAGCGACTCTTTTGTTGTTGTTTTGAGGGGGTGGGGGAATAACCACACCAGGAAGTGCCCAGTACTCACTCCTGGTGGTGCTCAGGGGACCATATTGGAGTGCCAGGGACTAATCCCAGGTTCACCGAGTGCAAGGCAAGCACCCTACCCTTTGTACCATCTCTCCTACCCAGAGTGATTCTTCTGGGCACTGTTTCCTAGTGTGGGATGAGCCTTTCCTTTCCCTGTCTTTTTCTTTCAAAGACTGGAGGAAGGTTCTCCAAGATTCTCATTTTGTACATGTTCAGCCCTTTAAACAACGCCAGTAGTCGGACCGTGAAATTTTTATTCCTGATCCAAGAACTTTGGCTTAGGGAAGGGTCTCAGGTAAATGAGAGGGTAGTCTTTTGTGAAAGTGAAAATGAAATGATGTGAGGTAGCGTAAGCCATAAAGAGGGATTTAATGGTTTAGTTGCCAAACTACGGGTGAGTTTGGGGTTCTAAATAATGGGACTTTCTTTCCCACTCATTACACAGTTGCTCCCCATTCCCTTCCTTCTGGCCCAGCCCCTGGCAACCACCAATCTGCTCTCTCCATGGATTGACCAGTTCTGGATATTTCCTATCAATGGGAGTCCCACGATTTATGACTTTTTACATCTGGCTTCTTGTACCGGATATCATGCAATCGAGATTTACTCACATTTTATGTGTCGGTTCCTCATTTCATTCATGGCTAATATCCCAACATACAGCTCCTCCTTGGCATGTGGGTCTGTTCATCTAGTTGGTGGCCAACTGGGCTATTTCCGGGACTTGGCTATTG